CTACAATTTTTGTTAATCTCTTTCAGAAATTATAATGCCACGCAAGCCACAGCGTCTACTTGGTGCGCGAAATTATAAAAATTATTCGGAAGAAAAACTTCAACAGGCTATTGATGAAATTAAAAGTAAATCGATTTCTCTCCGTAGTGCATCAAAAAAGTATCAGATAGCGAAAAACACTTTATGGAATAAAATCCATGGCAAGCATAGTCGTAGACATGGTAAGCCGAGGGTCTTCTCCGAAAATGAAGAAGAATCCTTCGCTGGACACTTAATTGCTTTATCTGCCTTTGGTTTCCCCGTAACAGCTGAAGACCTAAAAGTTTGCGTCAAAGCTTACTTGGACAGGCAAGGAAGAAAAGTTACTTGTTTTAGAAACAATTATCCAGGTTCTGACTGGGTAGCTTTATTTTTAAAACGCAGGCCAGAGCTCAGTCAAAGGTTCTCCCAAAATATTTCGCACGCACGAGCAGGAACGGACGAGACGGTGATTAACGAGTACTTTGATAATCTCCAAATGGAGCTGGAACGTGTCCCTCCAGCCAACATTTATAATTACGACGAAACAAATCTCGTCGATGATCCGGGCCGATCCAAAGTTATTACAAGGAAAGGGACCAAGTACCCTGAGAAGATTCGCAATTCCTCTAAAGCTTGTACATCCCTTATGATTTGCGGAAATGCTGAGGGTCAGCTTGCTCCGGTTTATATCAACTACAAAGCTCAAAAGCTATGGTCAACTTGGACGGAAGATGGTCCATTACATGCCCGCTATAACCGAACCAGTAGCGGGTGGTTTGACTTCCAAGTATTTGAGGATTGGTTTATTAATTTAATGCTGCCAATTCTAAAACGAAAAGAGGGACGTAAAATTTTAATTGGGGACAACCTTAGTTCCCACCTTAACGTGGAGGTGATCAGACAGTGCGAATTGAATAATATAAGATTTATTGCACTGCCTCCTAACACTACGCATCTCCTGCAGCCGCTGGATGTAGCATACTTCCGTCCTATGAAGGGACACTGGAGGCAAATCCTAAATGACTGGAAGAACACAGCTGAAGGATGTCGTTTTAGCGGCATATCCAAGGATACATTTCCTAGGCTTTTAAAAACGCTGTTGACAAAATTGGAAGAGCGCGGTGCTGAGAATCTTAGATCTGGGTTCAGAAAATGCGGAATTTATCCTTTCAATAAGGAAGTCGTTTTGAATAGATTGCACGGACACGTGGTGGCTGATGACCCTGCAATACAAAAAGTTGTTGGCGAAAGCTTTTTGGGACATCTTGCTCAAACACGCCACGAAACCACAGCACCCCGCATTCGTAGAAGAAAGAAACTACAAGTGCCTCCTGGTAAAGGGATAACGGTTGCCGATGTACAGAATGCCGCCTCCACAGAGCCTCTCAACAATTCGCCGCAGCCCTCCACGTCTGGAATCCAGAACAGGGGGAGCATACAAGAGCCTCTTGGAGGTTCAGATTCTGACGACAGCTTACCTGTAATCAATATGAAAAGTCAGAAATCTAAAAGAACGAAAAACGATTCAGAGAGCTCTGATAATAGCATTCAGAGCGTAAAATATGCAGAAAGTGACGATAGCCCTTACAATCCCGAACTGTCAGATGATGAAGTCAATGTAGAAGTTGTAGAACCAGATGAAGTCAAAAAACCTGCATTTTCCGTGGATTCAAAAAAAGTCGGAAATTACGTTTTGGTTATTTACAACAAAAAATATTTCCCTGGACAAATCACGAAAGTTCATAATCTTGGAGCCATTGTAAATGTTATGACACCTAACGGCAAGCAATGGAAATGGCCAACTCACAAAGATGAGATATTTTATAGCAACAAAGAAATAATAATGGCAATAAAAACACCTGAACGTCGTGGACATCGAGAAGTTTTCGATGTTCCCGAATTGAAAGATTTTCTTTAAGGAATATATTATGTTTTTAAGACAGCTTTCGTTTAAGTTCTAATGATTTGAAATGTTAAAACTTTTTTTGTATTGGTTATCTAGCAATAAAAGCTCTTAAGAAATTATTAATCGTGTTCTTTTTGCCCCCACTATATATAAAAAATGGCAAAAATATGTTTTTTGGTTGCCATTTATATTTTTTTTTGTTCTGTAAGGTCTATCTTTAGGACACAGGCCCATAACGTTGAATTATTCATATAAAAAGCCAGTGTACCAAAGTTACCCCAAATGGCGGGGTAAGATTGGGTCAGTTTCAAGGCCGAATATATCAACTAACAAAATAAATAAATTATGTTTTTGACTATTTCATAGTTTGGGGTGTTGGTATATTGCCATTCAGTAGTCAAAGCCCAGTTTTTTTCGCAAGTTCAAGTTTTATTTAAGAAAAACATGAAAAACTGTACCAAAGTTACCCCGGTTTACGGTATGCCAAAAATTCAAATTTTTTATTATTTATATTTTTTGAATTTTGACCATTCCAATCCATGGATCAGGTCCAAATTAGACAAAAAAAACTCTAACATCATTTCCAAATGGCAATTTTAAAGCGGAAAAAAATCCAAAAGAAAATCTCCATTCTGTCTGTGGAATTTTTTTCAAATCCTGACAAGGTTAGGAATAATTGCTCATATCTTAACTGAAATTTGAGCAAATTGGAATAAATTATATATCATTAGAAAGAGCATTGAATTCTCTATAAGTCTGTCCTAAATTGGTTCTAAAAGCTTAAATATTTTTTGAGCAATTGAGCCTCAAAGATGAACTTTAGTCAAAATTTTATTAAGAATATCACACTCAATTTTCTCAATAACTATAAACCTGGAAATATTCTCCATTACACATTTTTAGGAGCTTAATTGGAGCTACAATTATTGAAAATTTTGATTCAATAACTCTCGCAAATTTCGAAATAATGAGGTTGGAAAATTTTGATACAAAAATCCAAAATCCTTTGAAAAATATGCCAAAAATTCAAATTTTTTATTATTTATATTTTTTGAATTTTGACCATTCCAATCCATGGATCAGGTCCAAATTAGACAAAAAAAACTCTAACATCATTTCCAAATGGCAATTTTAAAGCGGAAAAAAATCCAAAAGAAAATCTCCATTCTGTCTGCGGAATTTTTTTCAAATCCTGACAAGGTTAGGAATAATTGCTCATATCTTAACTGAAATTTGAGCAAATTGGAATAAATTATATATCATTAGAAAGAGCATTGAATTCTCTATAAATCTGTCCTAAATTGGTTCTAAAAGTTTAAATATTTTTTGAGCAATTGAGCCTCAAAGATGAACTTTAGTCAAAATTTTATTAAGAATATCACACTCAATTTTCTCAATATCTATAAACCTGGAAATATTCTCCATTACACATTTTTAGGAGCTTAATTGGAGCTACAATTATTGAAAATTTTGATTCAATAACTCTCGCAAATTTCGAAATAATGAGGTTGGAAAATTTTGATACAAAAATCCAAAATCCTTTGAAAAATATGCCAAAAATTCAAATTTTTTATTATTTATATTTTTTGAATTTTGACCATTCCAATCCATGGATCAGGTCCAAATTAGACAAAAAAAACTCTAACATCATTTCCAAATGGCAATTTTAAAGCGGAAAAAAATCCAAAAGAAAATCTCCATTCTGTCTGTGGAATTTTTTTCAAATCCTGACAAGGTTAGGAATAATTGCTCATATCTTAACTGAAATTTGAGCAAATTGGAATAAATTATATATCATTAGAAAGAGCATTGAATTCTCTATAAGTCTGTCCTAAATTGGTTCTAAAAGCTTAAATATTTTTTGAGCAATTGAGCCTCAAAGATGAACTTTAGTCAAAATTTTATTAAGAATATCACACTCAATTTTCTCAATAACTATAAACCTGGAAATATTCTCCATTACACATTTTTAGGAGCCTAATGGGAGCTACAATTTCTGAAAATTTTGATTCAATATCTCTTATAAATTCCGAAATATTGAGGTTTGAAATTTTTGATATAAAAATCCAAAGGGGGTAACCCTTTGAAAAAAATGCCAAAAATTCAAAATTTTTTGTTTTATATTTTTTAAATTTTGAGAATTCCAATTGACAGAGAGAGTCCAAATTAGTCAAAAAAAACTCTAGCATCATTTCCAAATGACAATTTCCAACTGCAAACAAATCCAAATAGCAAATATCAATGTTGGCTCTGAATTTTTTTTCAAATCCTGCAAGGTGAAAAAAAACTGCTCATATCTCAATTGAAATTTGAGCAAATTGAAATAAATTATATATCATCAAAAAAAGCATTAAATTCTCTATAAATCCTTCCTAAATTGGTTTTGATAGCTCAAATACTTTTTGAGCAATTGAACCTCAAAATTGAACAATTCTCGCCCTTCTAAGGACATTAAAAATAAACTACATATTATGTTGGAACAGAGGGTAACTCTATAGTAAAATGCATTATCGAATTGAAAGAATGTTCTAGACATTTCATGCTTTGTAGTGTAATTTGGGATTTCCAGATTTTCTGGCAATAGAACTGGAAACTATTAAATAAATTAGACACGAGTTAGGCATTAAAATATTCCAATTTATTTTTGTTTGATCTTTCTTAGTGTTATAGTCAAGTGTAATTTTGTTGGCAATGTTATTTTGTGACTGGAAATGAAATAAATCTATCAACCTAAGTTTTTTTTTCTATGAATCGCCATTAGTATTTCAAATCATAAAATATTATAAGAAAAACTAGGAAAACAACTGGAAAATTTCAAGGAAATATTTTTCATTCAATTCTAGGAATACATAAGCCAAGTTGAAAAATTCTGCAACAAAATCAATCAAGTTACATAAAAATGAAATAAATTTTTAGACTTTCTAAATGGCAACCATTTTCTACTATTAACTTTTTGATTAGAACATGGACACCTTTTACTACTTAATTTGACTACTTAATACATTTTAAGCTTGATGTTAATGTTTCAAGTGTTTTGAGACTTGAAATAATTTTTACAGATAAGCATAATTACCTGAAACCAAGTATTCCCCGTTTTGAGAAAATTCAATTGCATTCACACACCCATAGTGAGACACCAAATCTTTCCTATACAAATTCTTGGCTTTTGCTAGACGTTCTTTAAATAATTTATTTTTTATGAATAAATCCTCGCTATATTGTCGGTCGATTATGTATTTTAGAGGGTTGATCGCCGAAGGCCCCGCCATTGTAACTTTTCTTCGCGGAATCGTATTTTTTCAAATGCACTTTTGTTGACAAAAATCCTACTCGAAATAAATTTGTGAACCGAACGGTTGTCAAAATCAGCTGTTCGCTGGGTCGCCGTGCACTTGGATCGGTTGGAAATGGAAAAATGGGGAGGGATTTGGACTTAAAAATAGAATTGATTTTACTGCCGAAACTACTTTAATATACAGGGTGTTTATATTTCTTTTTGATTGTAAAATTCTTTGATATTTTACTGGTTCAAAGTTTCTAATTTTATCTTTCTAGGGAAGTTGTGAAGAGGCAACTTTTGAAAACTACCTACTATGGGCAAATAAGGGACACTTTTTTAGTACCACTTTTTCTTTATACTTTTCATTAGGTTCCTAGGTACCTATATTTTTGATTATTGCCCATAAAATATTTTTTCTACTACCGTGCGTAAAGTATGTACTCACTTTACGCACTATTCAGAAGACGTAAAATATTTCTCTTCACGCACTAGTGCGTAAAGTAATTCACTTCACACACTAGTGCGTAAAGTAATGTCAATGACAGATGTCGACACTTTCAAATTACTATTTTTCTGGTAAATTACCTATTTCACACACTAGTGCGTTAATGAAAATACTTTACGCACTAGTACGTAAAGAATTTGTCTAAATTTATTTTTTCACACATATTTAATTGGTAGTAGAAAACATTTTGTATGCAATACGTGCGTAAAGCACCTTTTTTCACGAATGTGAATTTTGACGCACGAGCCGAAGGCGAGTGCGACAATCACATGAGTGAAAAACTCGAATACAAACAAGGCCAACAAAAGTTGGTGCATGTCTGATAATCATATTAGGTGCACTTAGAATGGTTGCAAGTCAAACAGCATACAGGGTAGCTCAAACAATATATCAAAACTGTACTGTAAAGTACGCTTATTTTAGAAAATTCAGCAAAATGTTATATGGCCATTTGCACCGACCATTTTGAGGCAGGTTTTACGATAATCAACGTTTAAAGTGACATTTTAACATGCAAAAATGTCACTTTAAATGTTGATTATCGTTAAACCTCAATTAAAATGGTCGGTGCAAACGGCCATAATAGAGAATAAAAGTTGTTTGGAATTAAAAGTTATGCCTAAATACCAAAACATAGCCTCCTAAGATTTTTTTTATTTTCTTTCGAAAAAAATCTATAATTTCTATATTTTTTTTATTTTTTATTTCCGCCCTTAATACTTTCAAAAATTAATTAAAATCAAATTAATTTTACATAACTTTGTTCAAACTCAAACATATTTGTAAAATTAACTTAGATTTTTAATTTTTTATGGAATCACAAAATTATAGTGAAATTAATTAAACAGTGTATGCACGTGATCAAAATTAATGACATAAGCACGTAGCAATGTTGCCGCTATTAACTTTCGTTTTACTTTGACTTTGACATACCATGTCTAGTAAAATTTGTTATCACTAAAGCAAACAAACATCGATTTTTATGTGTATAGATAGTGTATTATGAACACAATCTAAAAAAACTACTCACTTTGATAGTATCAATATACTTCACCTCTCTAACGCTATTTAATGGCAAAAAGGGGCCCCCATTATTCGTTCCTGTTCAAAGAAACTAATTAGAGACACAACGAGTTTCTGACTCTGACTATTCAATGACTTTGGCATTTTATAGATACACAAATAGAAATAATTTCAAATTATTAAAATCAGTAACCGCAGATTTGCAGCAATATTTGGCAACATAACCCATGAGTGCCAAACTGAATGTCATTTTATCGGCCGATTCGGTTAAATGCCATCAGTGTTCTGTCTTTTTTTAACTAAGGTTAAATAAAAAGGAGAATGAGCTCTCAGCTTGAAACGAATTTTAATTTCTTACAAACTGCAATTGGCAATAATTTCGACGTCATTGATCACGTGCATACACTGTTTAAATAATTTCACTATATCCATGTTTAGGCCAGTGCAAATAATTTTGAATTTGCAAAAATTTTTATAAAGCTGCAACTATCAAAAATAGTTAGCGTTAGTACTCCTTGTAAACATACCAAAAGTCCCCATTCTTCCGGTTGTTGCGTCATTAGAAAAAACAATCCGCCATCTTGAATTTCGGCACTTTTCGGAAAAAATCGTGAATAAGTCAAAAACGGTACATTCTACAATTTTTGGAAATTTAGCAAAATCAAGAGAACCAGACCATAATGCAGTTAATGCATTTTGTCAATCCCAATAAACAAATTAAATTACCTTTTAACATTTATTTAAATAAAAAAAACAATCTAAAAGTGTTACCTGTATATTAATTTAATTCAACTACCCTCGCATGAACTAATAATGAGTAATCACAGATTCAATACAATAATACTATTTAGCGCAAAAAAATTGACAAGGTCAATTTTACAATGTTTTGGCAAAAAGACATGATAGGTAATAAGCAAAGGACCCTGCACCGGATGCATGGGATTTTGGGTTTCGGTGAAAATCTGTGAAATTTTCAAATTTTGTATAAAATAACGTGCTGAATAAAAGTCCAAATGGCAAAACTTTCGTAACCCCCATAGTTTGCCTTTTATAGGCTCTCCTATTTCAGAACCTTTATAATCTATACAGAACGTTTATTGATTGATTTGTTTATTATTTTGGTGTATTTGTATTTGTTTTTTGGGGTTCATGTTTTGATGGCTGATACGGTACAGTGTAAAAATTAATAGGAAGGAGATAAAAGGACCCTGTGGCTCGTCATCGCCGCAGTATTTTTCGACTCCAAACCCTCTCCTCCAAATTAATCCACATCAAAGCTACACAAGAATCGCTCAATAGCTGCATAGGTTAAAAGAAGAACATAAGCTTACTGCTTTAACATGATGCTGAAGTGCTGCAATGGTTATTTGAATAAATAACAGTAAATAAAGTGGTCTATTATTAAAAGAACATAATATATTACCTATGTGGTTATTTTTGCGAAAATATATTAGAAGGTTGGGCACTAAGCTAATAAGGGTTAAATAATTATGGTACAAACACTAACGGGCTCCTGTGATGATTAATACTGAGATTTGTCATTCAGTGAATTATGTTGATGCCGTGATTGACATATGCCTGAGGGTTTCTGTTAGCAGCATCCAAAACAACGTCTAGCAGGATAGAGGACGGGTACTTGACATTGTGATCGTGTCGTGCATATCCCAAATACCACAAAACACGTGCAACGTGGGCACATGTGCCTATAGTCCTTGCACCAGACCTGCACGTGCAATAACATCCCTGAATCGGTTGTTCGTTTCCTGGCCGTCTTGGTTAAAGGCAATCCACAGCTGGTGTTTTGTGGCGTTTCTAAATCGGGAAAATATTCTTAATCTAATCAAACCCGGGTCATTGGCTAAAAGGTCTAATTCTAGTATCTCTGTTTGGTTCCTTTGTAGTTTGTGCTGTACATAGGATGGCGCCAGTTTTAGTTGGTAAGTACCGAATGTTAAATCCCTTAAATAATCAAGAGGCAAGCGTGGAAATCCTGGTAGATGATTTTCGTCCAGCACTATCCATTGACCGTTCCTTCTCTGATGTAAGCCGTCCGCCTCCACTCGTGCTTGCAATACATTTGGTTCATGTAAGCGAGCCAACATTCGGTGAGCAATCTCCAAGGGGGGTTCGGGAATTGGGCCATGAAATCTATTGATAATTGCAGCTGCAATTCTATAAAAATCACGAAGGTTAACTGCGTGCGTTACGAAAATAACTCCCGCGAAAAACTTGAAAATTGTCTTAAAGTGTCCATTTCTGGCTTCGATGATCCATCTGGTTTTAGTAACGAGGCGGGATGCATTTCCTTCTTCGGTTGTTAATTGTCACTGATTTCGGGGTAAGGCATAAGGCATCCGATGAGCAATTCCGATATTTTCAAGAAAGGGCACAACATCTCTATACCCCCTGTCCACGATAAAAATATCATCATTATTAAACCAGTTTCTAATCCCATCAACATCATGTTGAAGCTCAGTGCGTAACACTGCTGCGTCGTTATTTCTAGTATCTGAAAAGTAAGGTCCAAGTACGCTTAGAATGTAGCCATTTGGTGCTACAACAAGAGCTGGCTTTAAAAGATGATGGCCCTTATGGCGACAATATGATTGTTGCAGAACTTGAAAGTTACAACTTTTTTCGATTTTGCTGTAAGTACCGTCAATATACGCAATAGCTCTACGAACCTCAGGTTCAGGGTTATACAGCGCATTACTGAAGTCGTTGACGTGACGGTCAATATATGTATTTCTTGTAATTGCTGCAAATGCAAATCCCAAGTTGTTTGGTACAAACCGTAGTAACAAGGACTTTCTAACAGATGAAATAGCCAAACTGACGGCCTGTCGGGTACTGTAGTTAAAAATAACTTTTAGAAATTCATCGGAAAGTCCATGTCGAAGCTTACATAAAAAAGTTATCAAGTGTTTCTTTTTTATATGTCGATCTGATCGGTTATCGTGAGGAATATTATCGCAGAATGTATATAATTCGTCAAATTGCCCTTTTGTTAGTGACGAAATAGACGTAAATTCATCATCTGTAATATTGCTTATATCATCAAACCTATGGAAGCGTTGCGTTGTGAAGTTGTGATAGCTGCACGAAGACCTTCCAGAAAAGCTAACAAATCCACACCTCTAAAAACGAATGGCCTACGGACAGAACGTAATCCAGGAAGCAAGTACTCCTGAAGCAGCTGGCGGTCGGTCATATGTACATCACAACACTTAACATATTCTGGCACAGAAATATTGGCTTTAACAAAAATATCAATTCTACAATCCATAGATAACCTTTGTAGAACAACGTTGTATACCCTATTACAAATCATACAGCTGTTACTTGTAGTTTGAGTAAGAACATTGAAAACCAAGCAAGTCGGGTCATTTTCTAAGGCTATTATTTCTTCATGGACTGACCGACTGCAGTTTAAACAAATCCGAGCGTCTTCATTGGCATTTCGAGCCGGCCTATTGGCCTCATCACGCTTCCGTATTGCTAGGTCACGGGTATTATCGTTTAGTCTTTGAAGCTGATTTAAACGTGAATATCTATTGCATATGAAGCAATGGTCCATAGCGATATTTGAATATAATACAGTATAT